GCGACAGCCGAAGCAAGTACGATGCCTACAGAACGCCACCCGATGGCCCCGAACCACACGAAGGCAGCATTTACATTACATTCAAGACAAACAACTGCAACAAAAGCAACACAAACAATGATGTTAAAGTATTATGATACTGGACTGATATTTTCAGACTTTGTTCTTTAAGCCCCTGTCACACTGTCCCGAAATTGACACCCGATGGACTCACGATTAAGGAAATGTTCAAATTCAGCTCTGATCGTAGCAACATGGGGCCATTCGTGAGGGCATCTTAACCCATCGTATGACCGCCGGTGGAGTTTCTCAGGCTCCGGCAGCAACTTCGGGAGCGGTGGCCAAATCTTTGGCATCACAAAGATGGCTTAAGATGCCCTCACGAATGTCCCGATGTTGCTACGATCAGAGCCGAATTTGAACATTTCCTTTATCGTGTGTCCATCTGGTTGTTTTATTGCACAACAAAATCATGTAAACATATTATGTAAATAACCCAATTTGTGTTCTGTGAAACTAAAAAGGATATAATATATTATTTTGAAGGCGAGGAAGTTGTTGTTGCTATGGAAACAACATGACGGAGGAAACTTAATATCTTCTACATATACTGTAAAGACGGAGAAAGTAAAGAACAAAGTCGGAAAATATCAGTACAGTATCATAATACTTTAACATAATTGTTTTTATTACTTTCGTTGCAGTTGTATGTCTTAAATGTAATGTAAATGTTGCCTTCGTGTGTGGTTCGGGGCCATCTTCGTGCGAAATTCACAATTCCATATTCGTGTGTCCATCGGGTGTCAATTTCGGGACAGTGTGACAGGGGCTTAATCGGCACAGATCGCGTTTTGAAAATACACAAATACTGATGTTGACGAGCGAAATGTCCTCGAGTCTCATAAGGTGTCCGTGCTGAATGAAATGATGTTTAGTGTAAACGGTTCCTTACCTGTGCTGGGAGGATGGGCTGGTTGCAGGAGGCACACTTGGGAGCAAATACCCTGTCGTAAAAGAGACAAAAATATATATAAAGTGAAGACACCTTATTTCACACAGGTTAACACTAGTTTAAAAAAGTAGGTTGAGAACCATACATTTTGTGTTAAACTGCTGACTGAACATATTCAGTGATACAGTAAATATATGTGTGTCCTCTTACGTGTGGTAGTCTTTGACACAGTAGATGTTGTTCTCAACGTCCACGGTGAACGGCACTCCGTCTAAACCCTCTTTACAAACCACACAGCGGAAACAACCCGGATGGTACGACTTTCCCAGCGCCTGCAGGATCTACACACACACAATAAGAAAAAACACACAAGATAACGGTAAGACGTGTGTAACCGGTGTTGATTCGCGGTGTCTGCGTTGTGTTTTGTTTCGTTGAGGCTATCTCCGTTTATTCACTGACTGACAACAGATATACAACAAATCAGTCGTTATTAAATTGTTGTTTCCCCTCACACTGACTCCTCTCACGTGGAGCATTCACAAGAAGGGAATGGGAAACAATATGAAGGCGGGAAGTCCCCACAAAAATAATGCATTAACGCAGAATGATATGTCATCAGAGGCTTCTTAAAGATTCAGCTACTGCAGTGAACATGTTTTTCATCAGGGTGTTCTACGAAATAAGGCTCAAGATCAAGAGAACATGTAAAAGTTTATCTTAACGAGTTGGGTTTTTTGTCTGCACGATATCCTAGTAACTTTGCTTATCATAAACAAGAGAGTGCCTGAAGTGTCAATTAGAAACCTTAGACATGCATTGAGTCTCTTCTTTACACTTCCTGTCTGGTGAACTCTTACCATCTCCATGATGAGGTGACCGCACACAAAACACTTATCCGCCGTCTGCTGGAAACCAGAGTACTGAAAGAAAAGACACAGGAATTATTATTATTATTATTATCTTCAGCAGGTAGTGAACTTTTAGGTATATTTCAATGCGTGTATATGCTGGCAGTTTGCCCCCTGATGCACGAGCTTGTTTCAGGGCAGGGCTGATCTATAGAGGGTGCTGCTGCGCTCTTCACATCAACACGAACAGGATTTCTTTCAGGATCTTCTGTCTCTCAGCAACGCATGTTTCAAAAGCTATGATGAGTCCTCCATCATATTCCATACAGACAGGTTATAGGATACATGTCAGCTAGGGCATGGATAACGTTTTACTCCAATTTAGACTTTTCTGCACATTTTTGGATTGATCGTTCAACGAGTTATCTCTTAACTCACAACTTCAAGGTGACTCGGGGTGAGCAATGTATATCTAAATCATCAATTTCTCTTAAAGGTCCCCTATTATACTGTTTTTCATCAATATATCACAGGTCTCAAATATATACAGAACATGTCTCTGAAGTGTTTGGCTCCAAACAGATCATTGCAGCATTACCCATAATCCTCTCTGTTTCAGCCCTGTTTCCGAAGTGCTGATTCTCTGTCTGTTACTTTAGATGAAAATAAGGAGCCCCTCCCCACGCCCCTCTGAGAGACATTTGGTTACAAAGAACTCAATGGTGCTCTAGGAGGAGATTCAGGTGATAAGGTGGGGGGGGGGTTACCTTGGTTGCTGATTGGCTAATGGTTACTCAAGACAAAACATCGTTATGACATCACAAAGTGGCCAAAATCTGCTGGCTCATTTCAGTTTTTATAGAAATGGATCAGGACAAAAAGAGAGAGAATCTTTGTTCCTGAAACTTTCAGAGTCTCTTTCCACAGAGGGGACACATGTTGATGTAGAAGAGACATGGAGAAGAGGGGACACATGTTGATGTAGAAGAGACATGGAGAAGAGGGGACACATGTTGATGTAGAAGAGACATGAAGAAGAGGGGACACATGTTGATGTAGAAGAGACATGAAGAAGAGGGGACACATGTTGATGTAGAAGAGACATGAAGAAGAGGATGTTGCATAATAGGTGACCTTTGAACCCTGAGTGCAGGAAGTCTAAATGAAGGTGACCATCTGCAGATCAGAAGCCTTCAGGGTCGTGACCTGATGACTTGGGGGCAAGTGGATGAACAAGGCTACCAGGTGGAGGTGGTGATGGGCAAATCTACCATCTGCCGCCACNTTAACCTCCTGGATATCCATAAAGCCCCTGTCACACTGTCCCGAAATTGACACCCGATGGACACACGATTAAGGAAATGTTCAAATTCGGCTCTGATCACGATCAGAGCCGAATTTGAACATTTCCTTAATCGTGTGTCCATCGGGTGTCAATTTCGGGACAGTGTGACAGGGGCTTTATGGATATCCAGGAGGTTAAATAGCTTGACAAGCGCAATTTTTATTTTAAATTGAACTCTCTCTAAGCTGTACAAACAATGATTGCTGCCCGAGTCTCCCCAACCATTCTTTTCTGAGTATTAGTTTCTCCTTCTTCCTTTTTATTTTTTCTGCAAAATGGCGCCCAACTTTGATTGGTAGCTTCTTATGGACATGGTTTTTAAGGGAAGAACTTGTGTTTAGCGGCGGTCTTTTCCCATACTTTTTTCTGCGCGTGTTTGACTTAGTTTGGAGACCAGACCGAAATGTAGACCCCTGATACCCTGAGCAAACTACCAGGCTCACATTCGTTGGAGAACATGTAAAGAAATACATGGTTGAAGTGTCTAACGGAACAGCCAAATCTGAACAAACAACTTGGTACAGCCCTAATGTTTACCTTAAATCCATGTACATATTCAGAGCATTTGTTGGTGTAAACCTGCTTTTGTTGGACCATAACTTACTTTAAGTCTCTATGAATGTCTGCTAAATGTAATATAATCACTATAATGGGACACCTGACTGAGTGTGTTTGTGCTGACAGGGCTCCGAGGAAACCATTCGAGTCGTTTCTATGGACAAGGACTACCATGTGGATTGTTACCACTGTGAGGTGAGACGCTCCCTAACACACACACGCACACGCACACGCACACACAGACACACAGGGGGGTATGAGTAAGAGCAGTCTAGCACGAATGAGTTCAGACTACAGGCAATTCCTTATCGCTGTGTGTGATTCAACATTTCAGGCTGTTGTGAATAGCACAGAAAATATTTACATGCACAGTTCACACACACACACACGCACGCACACACGCACACACACACACACACACACACACACACACACACACACACACAAACGTGCTTTCACATGCACATTAGACACAATGAACCTGAGTAAAATCTGCTAATCGTGGGACGAGACCAGACTGTTTTTCTCCAGCATGCATGAATCACCGCTGCAGACACTCTGAATGAATGACACACACACACACACACACACACACACACACACACACAGTTACCAACCCAAGGTTACAGATCAACATTGTGACTCATTGACGAAGCACATTCCTGCGCTGAGCTCTGAACCCAGCTGGGGACTTGTTGCTCAGACTGAACTGAACCCGTCAGTCAGATGCTCCTCAGTGACGGATCAACATCTCACGCCACACTTCAGTGATTCTGCATTTCTGTGTTCTGAATCATAAATACTGAATTGGGAGATGTCTGTCCTCAATATCAGAGGGAGACAGACAGTTTTCTCTGAATGTCTGACAGTTCACTTCATAGAAATGCATCAGATCATTATGTAAGCAGTGGGTAATGATTTAGAGATGTGAAGGGGGGGGGGGTGATGGACAGAGGAAGGGTAAAGTCCAGAGCTGAATCATTCAGAAGAATTCATATTCATCACACACACATTTTTGCGTTGCTTATCCAAGTCTGAGGAAGGCCAGTTTATGACACCCTTCAGTTCACGGTCTCCTCCACAGGTTCACTGTATTCATTCATAATGCATTTGTCAATACAGATATTTAAAAGAAAAAAAAAAGTGTGTTTAATCAGCGATTTTCTCAGAAATTCCTCTGGACATTTGAACTCTCTAAGCGCGCGTTCAAACCAAACATTTAGTGTGTTTTAATAGTACTCTGGTACACTTTGTTTGAGCAGTTGAAGACTAAGTAGTTATACTCTGTTGTGGAAATGGAAATGGAAGATTGAAATTGTGTGGACCAAAACAAACAACATCTTGCTCGTTCTTATTGCAATGTCTAGCATATAATATCCAAGTAATGCAAAACGACTTAGTAGCTGCTAGGCCAACATCTTCCATTATCGATTTCAAGGTAGGTGTTATTTAAATTGGACCTATCATGCTATATTTGAATAATGTAGTGTAGGACCATACCTATATAAGGCATATTTATACTTTTTATTTTTCAAAATACCAAACAGATCATGCATTTTAGCCATTCCTCATTTCGCTCAATGTAACACTGTCTTTGCATGGGCTGATTCTGTGAGAACAGCACCATCTACAGGCCTGGCATATGTACTACAGCGTCTCCAGCGCTTTCCAACGGCAATGTCCGTCGCTGTCTCCTCCTGATTGGTGGAGTTGGCCCAATAGCCGTAGCGCCACTTCTGTGACGTCATAGAAGTGTTCAAATCTGGATCAGTCTGTATCAGATCCGTTGCAGCCCCTTTTTAAGAGATTTGGGTATGGAGGAAAATAGAGAGGGTTGTGTTTTCTGACACTTGGTGAGTTCCCTGGAACACCGGGGACACATATTCATATAGAAGACGTACAAAAGTTCATTCTGCATGATAGGTCATATGTGTATATCCAGGCTGTGCTGTCTCAACGCAATACATCATTACAATGGTATGACAAGTACCTGTTTTCACACACTGCCAAAAACAGACTAAGCAAACCTCCCAAATATAAAAGGTACCCCTTGTGCATTAACAAAGCCCACACTCATCTGTGTTTAGTGACTGATCGTGTTTCTCTCTTCCTCCCTCCTCTCAGGACTGCGGTCTGCAGCTGAACGACGAGGAGGGGCACCGCTGCTACCCTCTTGAAACCCACCTGCTGTGCCACGGCTGCCACATCCACCGGCTGCAGGCCCCTCCCCCGGCCCACCAGCCCCCCCCCAGCTACCCGCTGCACGTCACCGAGCTGTGAGGGGGGGGGAGGAAGGGGGAGGAGGACCGAGACCCCAGGTGATCCCAAACTGAGACCCCGTACTGCCTCCCAGGTGATCCGACACTACAGGAACCGGCAGATCCAGGGACGCCTCAGTGTGTCCGCCTGAGCTTCTGTCCTCCTGTCACATGACGGGCTGGGGAAAAAAGGGTCTCCCCCTCTATTTTCCTCCCCCTTCCCCTTTGGGTGCCTAACCCTAAAACTTGCCAGCTCACCCAGAGACCCCCGGTCA